TCCCCCTATCTTTCTCTTGGCCTTAGCCTTCTCTGCTTTTCATTCTCCACCTTTTTTTTCCCATTATATTTATCGTTATTCAGTTCTTATTTATGTATTTTCCCCTCCTTTTTTGGGGTTTTCTCGGTGGAATTGAAGATTGAAGAGATGTTCGAATAAAAAAAAAAGGAAAAAAAAAGACATCTTGATGATGGTTTGCATTAAAAAGATTATAAAATGGACAAAAAATTAACATAAACATGCTGCTTGGGCGGACTCGCTAGGACCCTTCGTCGGCGATCCCAAAGGGAACATTGACGGCGGTGATCCTGACGTACTTCTCGTACGTCGGATACGCCGTGATGATGGGCGGTGTCGCGGTCAGGGAGGCCTCGGGCGTCGAATCCGAACTCAACATGGACGACATCCTGAGCTCGCCTGCCTTCGACTGCTCGAATCGGACGTGCGAGTGGGGACTCCAGAACAATAACCAGGTTCTCTATCTGTTTATCCAATGGATCTTCGCTCTTTCCTCCCCTCGTGCGAGAGAGTTACGGTCGGGATGTTGTCGTAGATGATGACGGCGGCTTCGGCTTGGTTTCCTCTCATCTACGCCGGGTGCTTCGCCGCCACGCTCTCCTCTGCCATCGCCAGTCTCGTCGGGGCTCCTCGCGTCTTCCAGGTGAGTCTTCTTCCGGATCCCTTTTCTTCGCCCTCTTTGCGGCACGGGCCGATTTTCGGCGGCGAAATTTCCTCGCTGCCGGTTCCTTGAGCGGCGGACGGGGCTGCGAGCGTTGGGCAGGTTGAGTGGAGCGGTACGTTTTCGGTGAAAAGTCGCGAGGCACTTATCGCACGTCTCAGAAAACATGTCACTAAGAGGGTTAAAATGAAAGCGAAGGAGCCACCTGCATCTCACCAGACGATTTACGGGGAATGGCAGCTTTGGCTTAAGTTCGCCAGAAATTGTCAGTTAATATGTAGGAGACAGTTCCACAGGCGCGCCATTTCTTTGGGGGATTCTCCAGACTCTAAGCCCGTCTCCACCATAATGAAGGGAATGGGAAATTCCCCAGCATGCTCCAAGGTGGGCAACACGAACTGGGTCACGATTTAAATAGTAGAATCAACGAATTAGAATGAAATTAACCGAAATCCCTCGAAAAGCCCGCGCGATAATTTCCCGGGGGAACGAAGGGCGACGCGACCGTAGGCCTCCATCGGCACCTCGACGCAACTTTTAAAGGGCCGCGCGACGCCGCCAGGCCTCAGTCCGAGATGGAGCGGCGGAACGAGCGCGCGAATCCCGTGTCGCCTCTGGGGTCTCCGCCGAGTTCTCCTCGCTGCAACTTTTTTCCTTGGCGCCTTTCGCTGCAATGACGTTTTCCGTGCTGCCATCCCCAGTCAAAAATTATGGTTGGCTTAAGGTTGGGCCATAGATAGGGAAGTTGGCGGAAGGTCGGGCAATAGTCGGGTTTGCCGCACATCGATGCCCCATCCATGAGCCACCCATGGGGTATCTTCCTATGAAGGGTTCCCAGCAGCAGCGACCTACTGAGGTGACCATGCACCAGCCTTTAATGTCATGCACAATGTTTTTCACTCGACTTCGACACTTCATGTCGATCAACAATGACTAACTCAAATGGAAAACACTATAGACAGGATATGTTATATCTACCTTATGCCGATGAGGTAAATTATAAGCATTCTTCTCACGACTAATTACTACTCTGCAAAAGCGATGTATCCTGGAAGAATGAAGAAACTCAAATCGTATTCAATAACTAAAGAACAGATTAAATCGTCACGGTAAGAGAACATATGGAAGAGAAGAGAAGAGCATGCAGTCCCGCTATGGTTGATTGACCCTCGGAACGACCCTTGACTCATGCTTGCCGTGTCAGCTGCTAGATGTTTCTAGAGAGCCCGGGTGTTTTCAGATACTAGAAGTGCAAGGAATTAAAATCTAAGCTTATATCACAAAGTAAATATCACATAGAGGCCATTTATAACCCAAAGAAATCAGATGGGAAAGTGATTTACTTATTCTAGTCTGGCATCTGGAAGGGCCCCTGGTCATGACAAACTCTTGCATCCAGCTCATTGGCGAGCCGATCCCCGCGATTACGTTCGGGAAGCGCGCTTAAGGGCGTAACAATCGTTCCGTGCTCTTCTTGAACAGAAACATGACAATCTTATTGTTCAGATGCGGATTGACCTCAGCCCTAATAACTATTTAGTTCTGCTGGGAACAGTGAACCTTCTCCTCTTCTAGCGAGGAGAGGGGTAGGTCATATATAAATTATTCAGGAGTGGAACGTATGGCGTAAAGTATGAAATCCAAAGTAGAGAAGGAGGGTGAGGGCTAATTAGAATATGGCAATTAATACTGTGGCATTAAGGTGGGTTGAGGGTGGATGCATTCTTAAAAAGTTGGCTTATGGGTAGCATAGTTCCGGTCCATATCCTAAGGGATGGCCAGAGAAGGTTGGCCCGAAGGTCGGCCGACCCAGACATGACCAACCATGGCCAACCATAACCACCCCAATAAGCCAACGATAACCTGCCGATGCCCCGTAGATGGTGTATGGAAGAGCCACCCTCGAGCCTTAGTTGGCCCAACTATACATTTTTGACAGGGTCTTCCTTCGTTTGAATATGTCTCCCTTTTCAGGCTCTGGCCAAGGACAAGCTATATCCCGGCATCGGCTTCTTTGCGGTCGGCTACGGAGCCAATAACGACCCCGTCCGAGGTTACGTGGCCAGCTTCATCATTGGCGTCGCTTGCATACTCATAGGTCAGTTATTTTTCCACTGGATTTTAGATGACGAAAAACAGTTTTAACTAGTTGCATTCATATTCAGAAATCTGTTGAAGTTTTCCGTTTATCGTGTGATCGGTCACGACCGTGTTCATATCGAGGTCGTGGGTCGATCCTCGACCAAATCGTCCTCGTGATGGATTTTTAAATTCCTTTCTTTCATTGCGAATCGTCCAGACATAATGTCCATACTCCAGTCTGAATTCCAATTCCAAACCAGTCGACGACGTTTCCCCGTGCCTGTCCACCCGCCAGTTCTCAGATAATGAACATCCGAAACGTAATTGAACCCTGCAAGACCCATCTCAGCTGACCGGAACGCAAAAAGAAAAGAAGCCGACGTAAAAGAAGTATGGCTTTCATCTTTCGAACTCGGTAAAAGTCATTTAGGACTTGGAACGAAATGAACCCACGACGGCTTATTTTGCTTGTGGCTGTTTCCGCGTGCAACTTTTCTTTTGAGCAAGTCAGTGTCATCGTGGTTGTCCTGGTTTCGGCATTTGCTAAATTGCTAAACGAGCTCGGCCGTAAAAAAAAAATAAAAAAAACCTTCGGGGATCGTGAAGGACTGCAATGAATGATGCAAGGAATGTCGACTTTGCCAGATGTGGGTGAATGTCAGGACCCTGACATATCGGTAATAGCCAAACAAGATTAATTGGAAAAGGAAAGACATATGTAAATGTACCTGAAACTGCACGTTGTGAAAATGCAACGAGAAGGCGATTCCCCCATGACATGGGTATGGTATACCCCGTGACATGGATATGGTATGCCCCGTGAATCGGTCGCACTTCACTTTCTACTTTCACTTTTGACCTCGAAAACCTATATTAGATTTATTTTAGGCCTTGGTGTTCGGACGAGCCCACTCGAAAGGAAACCGAAGACTCAAAGAGTACCAGTAATGAATAACGGAGCAATGAAATTTTTGCACACGGAGTATCAATGTTTTCCTTGAGATGAATAAGAGCCGATTGCGACGAGAAAGTGAACGTTCCTTCAGATCGGATTCTCGAAAAAAAATCGCCCGCTTTGTTGTAACTCTCAACCTGAGCCTTTTTTTTTTTAACGGTATTCCTGATGAGTCAAACTTCGGATAACTCGAAACGATTTGCCCGGTCCCTAAAGAAAAACGGGTTTCCACTGTATTTTTTAATTGGTGGTGAGGATGTTGAGCCCTTTTTATGAATTGTTCAAAATATGCATCATTGAGCAAAAAAGATAATTGGATGACAAAGAACTCCATTGATTAAAGCAGGGCTAGAAAACCGTCCGAGGTCATTTAAATTAAAATGACAGTATTCGAATGTGTCGTCAACGTTTTCGAGCGTTTGATCGATCTGGGCTAATTGGATGGTACATCAAATTCATTCACTAATTGGTGCGTCGGGATGATGCTGGGCATCCCAATTAATCGATGCCGATGAAACGCTCGAAAAGCGGCGGGAATTCCCCTGGAGATTTCGCTAAGGTGGACGTTTGCGAACGGCATACATGTTTCACGATTGCGCCATTTTTCGCCTAATCGTGGAACCGAATCCGATGTGATTTTCGTTCCCCGGGGACTCACCGCGTAGACAAGTGACAATCACAGCCCCATTTTCGGGTCCGAAAGCATTCATCGCAATTAGGAAATTGCACCGACTCCGTTACAGCATTGTCTCCAAAGCTCGAAGAGGCAACCGGACGCATTCAAGGCGTTCACGGATCGAGTTCCTGGGTGACGATTCAAGTTTTTTTTTTTCCCGCCGTTATGACCCTGACCGAGATGCATGCTGCTTCTGTAATCCTTTCAAAGACTGCATAGGCATGTATATCGAGGAATTCTCTCGGTTACTGCAATAAATTTCAGTCTCTCGTCACCATTTTTGGCCTCTTTAGTTTTTGTTCAGCATACAGCATATTTGATTGTTCCGTATCCTCTTGAGACAAAAGTCAGCAGTTCTTAATCTTGGCGATAGTGCTCTGCAGATGAAAATACCTTGATGCAGAAATCTTGTTTCTACTAAAGCTAATCATGTCGACGTTCGAACTTGCAGCAAACTTGAATGCGGTTGCGACGCTGGTGGTGAACTTTTTCCTGGCTGCTTATGCACTCATCAATTTCTCCGTCTTCCATGCAACCGTAACCAAGGCCCCAGGCTGGAGGCCGTCCTTCAAGGTCAGTCTTCATCTGAAATCCTTTAAATCACCTATTCAACTTTTTTTTTCACGCTTTATCCAACAAGTTCGCTCAGTAGAATATGAAACCCGCTCGGTTTCGTAGGTTTTGTAGTCGCAGGTCGCGTTCTTGGTTTTTGCCTTTCTCCCTGAGAAGTCGACCATGATGACAAAAGGCCCCTTCACACTCGACACGAAATCATGAATAGGAAGCTTTCCGAATCGAAATGAAACGGGCTAGAGATTCTTGTCACTTTCTGCAAGCAGGAAACGCTATCGATTTTCTTTGGAATAATTGTGCGCCTATTGACGGAAAAAAAAAACGTTACAAGGTCTTACATTGTGTCGTGCATTGGGTGCAGAATGTAATTTATTTCCATGTTATTCCTCTTAAATTGGAGTAAATCCTTTTCCTCCATGCCTGTCTCTCATTTGCAGTACTACAATGCGTGGCTGAGCCTATTGGGGACGTTAATTTCGGTGGTGGTCATGTTCATGATCCAATGGGAGGTGGCCCTCGCCACTTTCGGTGTTACCATGGCCCTATACCTCCTCGTCCACTATCGGAAACCCGGTATGCTTCCATTTACTCTCTTCCCTTACAAGACGTCCACCTGCTAGGTGGATTTGGAACCAGGTGGTCGTCCACTCAGGCGTATCTCCATCTGTTGGAACGATGTTTACCTGGTTGAAAATCCATTCCGGGGGAGAAATTCACCTGACTCGAGAAGCACGTGCAAGAATGACCAGGTGGATTTCCTCTGTGCGGGCATCCACCTTTTTCCAAATCCATCTCCTATTCACCTGGTCGTCCAGCTAGGTGGATGCAGGTGAACGTATCGTAAGGGTTTATCATCTTCAACCTCTTCGTCTTCATTCTTCATTCCCTGATTGGCTGCAGACGCGAACTGGGGCTCAAGCACGCAGGCCCAGGTGTACTCAACCGCTTTGAAGAACGCGCACGAACTCAACAGGACGCCCGAACACGTAAAGAACTACCGACCGCAGTTGCTCGTCCTTGCTGGTTCTCCTAACTCTCGGCCTCCGCTTTTGGACTTCGCCTATCTCCTCACCAAGTCCAATTCCCTCCTCATCATTGGCAACGTCGTAAAGGTCAGTGCTGAGGGAATTAACATTTGCTTTAATGAGATCCAGTGTACTCAGCGTTGAGTCTCTCCACGAAACGCAAGAGAGCATTTTTTGCTGGAACGATGCTGCTCAGTTCTTAGATAGCTGCTTAGTTAAAATTAGCAGGTTAATTGAATAGCATTATATATGTGTTCGAGCGCCTCTATAATACGATGTGGAACACTTCTACTTGGGTCGCACCTTCAGGATGTAGTCTGAAAGAAAAACACCGCCGAGAAGAACACCGATCGTAACCCATTCGGCGCAGTTGCGCCGAATGGGTTACGATCGACGAGCTGCACGTGCCAAAGTCTAGCGGGAAAAGAGGAAGGTCGACAATGGGTTTAACAGCCTTATAATAATAATGGCTGGGGCTTCGAATAAAGAAGAGAGATGACGTATTTGAGGTGTTTCCAGGAACCCATGAAGCATTCGGCTAGGTCCATCCTGATCCATAAGGGTTACGCCTGGCTCCGACGTCACGGCATCAAGAGCTTCTACGACATCATAGAGAATGAACGCCTGGACCATGGAGCGAAGTCCTTCCTGCAACTGTCGGGCTTGGGGAAGCTCCGTCCCAACATCCTTCTTCTTGGTTTCAAGGCCAACTGGGTCTCATGCCCTCCATCCGATACGCTCCAATACTTCAACGTCATTCAGTCAGTTCCTCTCTCCGTGATTATTCTACCCACCTGTCCTTACCTGCATGAAGGATGTATGCAATATGTGTTCTTCAAGCCAAACTTCATCTCTAATTTCCATTTGCTGATTGACCGACTTACTGACGAGTGATCGGTATTTTTAGTCACAACTCGTACGAAATGAAGGAAACGATGGAGGCGGAAGGATTTCAGATGTTTTTGAATATTGCGTTAGTTCACCGTCTTCCCGTAGTACCCCATGTCGCACAATCGCACAACCCATGGCCCGTGGAGACCTTTTTTGCAGCGCTTTGGATGCCTCCGGTTTCTAAAAATCCACATGTATATGCGGGCTATTTCGGCTCACGTTCGAAGGCCGCAGGTCCTCGAACATGAGCGGAAGTAAAAAGATTTGGCATTTCATGGGGAAAGGTTGTGCGCCACTGCACTAGGCATTCCAGATTGTGCCCTTCGATGCGGAAAATCTATGTTCAGTCGATTTTGGGATGCTACGAATAATAGATAACTTCGTGGCATTTCTTAAGATAATGACTTTTTTGCAGTAGTAGATCCTAGAACTGCTCCGGCGTAGACGATGAATCAGGAACACCAAGATTGGGAAAATCTAGGGGTTGTAGAGAAGTCACAATTCTTTTTTTCATGCTACAATGCAAAATTCCAAAGGAATTACGAGTCTGAAGACGCAGTAACACTCGAGCTGAAGATACTATATGGCGCTCTGATGGGTTACGCAGTGACGCGTTTGACACTCATCTGGCTGTGGGGATCCTGAGGGTTCAAGAGGGTTTGGACTTCAGCGAGATCGTGGAGGAGGAGTCACCATCCGTCGAGAAAGAGAAACCCGAGACCAACAGATCTGAAGTCTCCCTAGGTGAGAGGTTTCTCTTCTACTTAGGCAAGGATTCGTTATGGTCTCTCGATTTGTTCAATTCAAGAAAGGGTATTAAGTTTTCGCCAATTTTGATGCTTGGATGAATAGATTTACGTTTCATAAATATTCAGTTCAATAAAAACAAGAGAGTTGTGTGATGAAATCCAGCGTAGTAGTAGGACTAGCACATAAACTTTGAACGAAGGGCTTCGCGTGAAAAGCTTTACTCACAAATTCACAATATACCGGGTGAGGCGAAGAAAACGCGCGGGTCATTAAGATTCTTAAAAGCTTGTAAAATGATAGACAACAGAATGACTTTTTTTGCAACGACTTCTACATATCCTTTAAACGTCCTAAATTTTTTATTCAACTCTGTCCTGTCGTTTTAGCCCAAGAGCGAAAATGCGATGTCAACCAGAATTTTATTTTCGCCCGAAGAAACGAAGCGGCGGAAGAGTAATTGGCACGCGCGGAGCGCACCAATCTCGGATCAGAGTTCCTCCGCCTTCTCATAAAAATGCTGCTCTTTGCGAAAGGATGGGGCGGGGCCGAATTTTGCAAGAATTTTCCGGCTAAGGATTATGTAAATGTAGGCCTATCGTTAAGAGGTTGATTCACTAGCTGCTTGAAACCAGGGCCCGTGAACAATATATTTTTAAAAAGTAAGCCTAGAACCCTGCTAAGGTGTCTGCGAAGGTTTGCAGTGTACCCAACTCAGTCATTCAATATCCGTCTTATCATGCTGCTTATCCTAGCAGAATGCTAAGGGACGCCGAGTAAGCTTTACATCCTGGAATGGCCCTCTTCCTTCCGTGTAAGCATATCAGCCTTCAAACGAAAAGCGAAAATCAACCTACAAGAGCAAATGGCTTTGTGATGGATGCATGCCCGTGCCAAACGGTCTTGGTATGCATCTCCATCTGAATCTTTATTCGATTGTTCATCCATGAAGACATTCAAATAGTCATGAAGTCCCCAGACCTTTTGCGATGACTACTCATGCAATGTTGTTGGTGCTTGCCCAAGCTGAGTCGTACAGGGCTCTGAATGTAGGCAATGTAGCCTCATTTTCCCCTACCCAAATATTTCCTTCACCATGGTCATCCTATATGCTCCATTATGTCGCACTCGTTGGCGAAAGCGAAAGCCACTTTCTTCAAGAGAGAAACCAGAGGCGTCTCCACTTTGCAACTGGCCATGCAAGAAACCTAGTGGAGTACCTGGACATCGTGGACACTACCGGCCAGCGGGCAGACAGCTCGTATGTGATCTCATATGCACTGTTGCAAACGGACATGACGTTATTCAATGGAATCTCTTGTGATTGAAGAAATTAAATTCATTAACTGAATACCGACGATCACATCAAACACACACCTGGGAATCGACCAAAGGCATCCCTTTCTTGTGACATCTGACCATCATCTGGTTGCGTCACAAAATGTGAAACCTTGTTCTCATAGCAAGTACAACCCTCCAAAATATGAAAACAGAAACATGGGAGACTTCCATACAGTCGCTCATTTAGCACAGTTTGAAAAGATCCAGTAACAAAGTACTGTGAACCAACACAGAATTGAATAACATGGATTATGTGGTGATTGCTGGTAGCTACTGCTTCTATGTCCTCTTGAAGGCCAGTGAGGGAAAGAATGCTGCTCATGTCAAATCAGTAACGCTTGTACAAGTCGGAGTCGTAATAAGCATCAAGCCGGTTGATTCTGTAGCGAAGAACTCTTTCATGAGCAAGAGCCCTTCTATAGAAGATATTCGACACTCGAATGAAAGTGTTATTCATATTATTCACCAATCCACTAATCCACTCTGCTAAGATATATGTGATGGGGGACCTTCCCTTAGATTTGAGCAGTCCACTTCAGCTAGATGCTATGTTTAAGAAGGATATTGAATGGGGTCATCCATTTAAGTAGGGTGCTTAGCCACCAAAAGTTAGTGGCCTGCTCAAATGTAAGCGTAGGAGACTGAGATAAGACCTATATTGAATAAGGCCCAGTTCGTCTAAGAGGAAAAGAAGGAGCGGAACATTAAAACTAGCCGGAAGCGAAAGAAACTGCGATTATGTGGAAGAAGTCATTGTTTCTAAAGCTGATGATCCTGAGACGCAAAATATCCCTTTTGCTAATTGCCGGACGTAAGGACGAATCAGCGATCATCTAAGCCAGGGGTCGGGACCTATGGCTCATGAGCCAAGTTTGGCTCATGAATCATGGCTAAAAAACAGGGCTATTCCTTATTTTTCTCATGTATCAAAGAATGCATGTTTGTTGCCAATTTCAGGGAAAATAATTTATTTCCGAAACTCTTTGGCTCAGGAGCACTTTGCTCATTCTTAATATGGCTCACATGACCAAAAAGGTTCCCGACCCCTGATCTAAGCGGATTCTAAAGTGCAGAAGAAAAAAACGCTTGAAAAGAAAAGTAATTGCTAGTGAGTGGGGGCAGGTCCTCCCCTCAGCGCCCAGGGCGAGTGCAAAAGTAGATTTCCGGTTGTTTTTGCAAAATCACTAGTTCGCTAAAACGGCTGGAGGTAAGTGGTCAAAGTTTCCGGATGCGCAAAGGATGCATAGAGGTGTGTACAAAGAAAGGCGTTATTCAAGCTGCTGTTTCAGAGGCGCCACAAATGTTTAAAGAGCGGTGCCTTTTTTTGCCCCGCCCGGCACTTATCCAACTCGAATCTGACCCCTCGAATGGAAGGAAAAATCCTCCATCACCCTCCTGTCTGGGTATGAGCGTATGAAGAGAGACAGATGATTTTGCCTATCTCAGGCTCCAAGAGGGTTTTTCCCTTCTAGTTGCAGTCGTCAGAATCAAGTTGGAGCGGTAGATTCAAGTTTATTTTCTTGAAGTACGCCAATTTATGCATATTCTATAACCGAAGTCATCGACACTGACGACAACACTTTTGTCCAGCACTGCAAACATCGTTTACCTATGGCTGATTTTATAATATTGTTCTGGATCGTTGCGATTTGAAATAATAATGGTGCTATAATTTGATTGCTGTGGATGGAACTCGATTAGGTTCAATTAGGAGAGCATGAATGATCCACAGGTAATATAGATCCTTAGTAGTAATAACAACTCCATAAGCCGTCTAGCATGTCCGGATGTGGGAGATGCTCCTTAAGAATAAGGAAATAACTGTTATATTCAGGGGAAATGGGAGTAGAGTCGACTCCCGAAGTTTCTCCGGGAAATCACACCACAAACGCAACGGAAATGCATAAGAAGAAAAAAGAAAAGCGAAAGCAACCGTCACAGATGTATCGAGGACCGGGCGGGGCTGCCTTGCCAAAGACGGTCGTCGACAACCTGACCCGGTTCCAGCAGAAACAGAAGGAAGGCCGAATCGATGTATGGTGGTTGTACGACGACGGCGGGCTCACGATCCTCCTTCCTTACCTTTTGTCTCAGAGGAGCCAGTACTCCTCGGCTTCTCTCCGCGTCTTTACCCTCGCCTCCTCTCAGGGAGAACTCGGACAGGAGCAGAGAAGGTTTTCCTCCTTTTCTCTCTTCTTAACATATTCATAGTCTTCATCCATTCATGGAATGCTATCTTCTCACTATATTTCCAGTATGGCAGCGCTGTTGAGCAAGTTCCGGATCGACTACAGCGATGTAATTGTCGTTACTGATGCCGAAAAGATGCCTGCACCGGAAGTTCGCCAGGAATTCGATGCCCTCATTGAACCATTCAAAGAAAAACCCAAGGAAACCAGGGAACCTGGTACAAATAAGAATCCATATCCCGTTTCACATAGATGATTTGTTTACCTAGTTGTTCTCTCTACTCGTTATGCATTGCAGGAACGTATATCCCGGCTGAAGAACTGACTGCGAAGCGCGACAAGAACAATCACCATATGAGACTAAGAGAACTTCTCCTCCATCATTCCATCGATGCGTCACTAATCGTCATGTAAGCATCTCATTGCATTTGTTTTCCAGGTAGTTGTTTTCAATCGTAAAAAATATCTTATTTTCAGATTGTCTAAGGTATCTCACATTTCACAACATGATGCACCGCATTTTCTGCCACCATACCATAATTTTTCAAGGTTGTCACTTCACGACTACATCAGGCAATACAAAACTTCTTCCCAATATCCCGAATTCTATTCATACTTCTATTGAACGCCCGCTAATCCTCATTCCCGAGCACCTGAAGAATAAGCGATTGATTAAGCAGGTGAGCCGCTGATTGGTAACTATGTTATCACCAATCAATTGCTCATCCAGGAACGAAGATTGTTCTAAATCTCTTTAAACAGAGTTTTCAAGATGTCCTAAAAGAGGTCTAGAGGTCTAGAGCTACTTTGGATCCTTATTTGCTTTAAAACTTCCGCATGTCGAACCCAATGAAACCTAGATCAAATACTGTATAATCCTCCTGTTAGTAACGCTGTATGTGACATCTGTCCCAACTGTCTTGGAAGACAGTTGGGCTGTGAATTTTCTTCTTATATCCCTCCTCTTTAAAACGGAAAACCTATGATTCACTCTATCGGAGAATGAGTGTCGTTTTTGCATTATTTGAAAGACATTTGATTGATCGTCAATTAAGTTCATTCTATTTCCAAAGGAACATGTACGCATCACCTGATGTAGAGTATCACAATTTCATCTTGCTGACTTTATAGTATCAGCAGCTCTGAGCTTTTAATTCTTTCGCGAATTTCTATAACTCTGTGCTTCAATTACTTTCGGATACTGTAGGACTCTACCGATGCCAAGAAAGGGGGCAATATCAGCCCCGCTGTACATGGCCTGGTTGGACATCCTGACGAAGGGCATGCCTCCATTCCTCATGATCAGAGGGAATCAGACTTCTGTCATCACCTTCTACTGCTGAACAACTTAATATTCCATTCCATTCGAAAGCTCGGTAAAAAGTACAAGTAGTTGCTACAGCAGTGGCATAGTAGCACCTGGACAACGCTAAACTAATGTGTACTACTAGACACTGTATAAGACCATAAACGACAATAACTCATGTTAAAAATACGCCGACAATTTATTTTTCATTGTTTCACTTAATCAAGAAATATTCTTCCTTTTGTTCTCTCCATTTTGAAATTGTCTTATCAAACATGCACAGTGACTAAACAGACTTCTATCCCGTGCTCCCCCGAATTATACGCCTTTTTCTCAGAGCGGCACTGCTTGTCGCTCTCGAAGTCCGATTTAGAGTCAATTTAACTGTGAATCTGGGAAAAGTGAGCATTAAAATAGTTTGATCGAATAATAATGGCGTAATACGTTGTCAATGAATCATCCAAAGGGGTGAAAATGCGAGTGACACAGTTCACTAAATAACCTATCTATACGAATTGAGTACATTCCTTTAGAATCGTATGTAAATTTTTCGCTGGACTATACGTTAACTCCTTTAACTCTTCAGGAAACGGTAGGATGGTGGATGATGAGAAAGTTGAATGACTTTTTTCCCCTCTTGTGCTGCACTGCCCAGCACGCATACCCCTAGACAGTCTTCCTCGAAGATGTGAGAGTTTTACTAGGAAGTGTCAAAAGTGGAACAAATAAAACGTACATAAATTTAGTCTCAACCCTCTCCCTCTCCATTGGGCAATCCCCCTAAAAAACGCACTGAATAAGAAGTTGCGCTGTTCTTGCGGACGTGATTCCACACGATTCCCGCTGCCTCGTATGAAGCACTCTTATCTCTGCCATCACTTTTTCTTTCCTTTCTTATCCAATCATTATACGTGCCTCCTTTTCCACGGCAGCACCTATGCCAGAATGTTCTGCTATTCTCAAATATATGCCCGTGTGATGGGAAGTAATATCTGGGCATCGAGAACAATGATTCATAATGTCAACGAGCCCATGTACGCGCATCGAACTGAACTAACGGGTGCGGCAGAATAAATGGCGGGGTCAGTGTTCCGTTAATTTATCGTCCAGTTTTCGTCGCTTTGATTTGAATTCTAAAAGGTTTCTGAGAGGTAATTTAAGAGATATCTTGGTGTACGAAAAAAATTGCGCTTATTAGCGATTGTAAAAAGCTGCTTGTCAGGTTCGTCCTTTTGAAAGATTGTGCTGAAAGCCGGCTTAACGCTTCAAGGCCCGTTTCAGTTCGTCAATCAGAGTCCCTTTCCACGTCACATTATCCCATTTGATGACTTGGACTAGTTTAATTTCAAATCGAAAGGGTGCAAATCGGGACTGTTCGGTAGTCAATAAAAGGTAAAAGAGGGTTGTCGATAAAAGAGGGGAAATTGTCTCGACACCATTGTTGGGACAGTTGGTGAGTGTGCTGCCTCGCACCATCTTGTTGGAAGGTCCAGTCGTCGTCGAAGACCTCCTTGCCGTATTTGAGGACCACTAGATGCACTTCTCGCATGTATCGAGCGTGATCGACCGACCCCACTCTGAAGATGACCAGCGGTGTCACCCTTGGAGCAAGCCCCAAGCTACACGGTAAAAAAATAATGGTTCTCCCTGGAACTCTTTACTGGTTCTACAGTGAACCTTTCTTCGAACCATTAAGTGGTTCCATAGAGAACCACCTATGAAGGTTACATGTAGTACCTTTACTGAAGACGTCATTAAAACGACAAAATAATATTGTATAGAAAACAAAATTAATCAAATATATGTATTCATAAAATAGCGAGGAGTTACATATCACACTATTTGTCTTACATTGCTACCACTTATACCATACTTATACTTCCACTTACTGTTGGTTATAATCACACAGCAAGGTAGGAACTTCCTTTTTAGGGCTGTCCTGTACAAATAAATGGAAGTAGAGGCACGATTTTGGGAAGGTAGGCGTTGATAAACGCAAAACAGACCATATTAAGGTCCGTTTTTTTGGCATTTATTCCGATTACTGCCTTGGGTCACATGGTTAGGAGGGTCACTGAAAGTTTTCGGATGCGGAAGGCAGAAAGAACTTGGCTTCATTCAATCATTACACCTTTTCTAAGTAGTGTCCCCGTGTGCTCATCCTTTTGAACCATTTCTCAAAACAGGTTTTCCACAGATTTTGACATTTCCGGTGGATCATTGATATAAATTCAGCAAATGGTTCTGGAGGCTGGAAGTCTCCACCATGAGTCCACGGAATGAATAGAAAGAAATAGAAAATATAAATATAAAGAATTTTCTCTTGAAAATAGAAAGAAGTCACATGGGGTCTGGTCATGACTGTAGGGAGAGGACGCGCTGTCATAATGGAACATCCATGATTTCAACGATGACTTTGGCCTCCAATATTTCACAGATTCGAACGCCTTTGAGAGGTAGGATTCTATGCACCATTTCGTGGTCACAGTCTTTTAACCCCGAAGAGGTACGGTGGGTATGTGACCGATGAAAGGGAAGAAACAAGCCACTATTTGCCTTCTCCTAGGCCGCTTGACATTGATGGGGGTTGGGTCACATGGGAAGAGTTAGACTGTGAATTGGCGCTTTGTATTTGCGTGAAATTCATATAATCCAGTTTTCATCTCCTGTGACGATGTCATAGACGGCTGTTGAAGATTTTGGGTTGAAATTCTGGAACATGACATTCTCGCTATTCCACCTTCGCCTCCTCTTGACTTGGGGTGGGATCACGTGGGACCCATCGGCTGGTGACCCTACTCAGACTAAGCTGTCTGTATGTCCCAAAGCATTTAAATTAAACGCAGCTGGAATTCTCAACCGTCATATCAGTAATATCGAGTGCGTCCCGTTATACACCCCCCCCCCCTTCCTTCCCCACAATTTCCCAGAATTCCTCAATATGCCAAATTTCAACAGGTTCGGTTCTATAATATTCAATTGAGACACCATGTACGAATAGGAACTCATGTCTATCAGGTGAAGGAGAGGAGATCCTTCCCATCCCCAGAGATCCACAATTTCCCTTTATTTTAAGGAATTTTAAGTGAGTTCTGTCTCAGAGGATTCTAGGGATAGCGTTCGGATTCCAATCTGCAACGCTTTGGATCAATAATAAGGGATGGGTTGCGTCATCAGGGAACCTGCAATTGCATGCATGCAAATTTTCAGCGAGTGCCGCCTCGTAGCATTCGAGTGAGATACGTCGTTCGAATTTCGAACACATGGGTATCGGATGAGATATGATTTCGAACCATGCCCGGCATGAGTTTCAGCTCTCTTGGAGGGGACCCGACCCGCGAATCGGGCAGGCAGCTTTGCAGGTGAAAATTCCTGTTGGGTGCAGGCGAATGCACTATCAGAGGGATCTTCTTCAGCCGCTTCCAGCTGCTGAAACGCTGGTAAAACGGACACATCGTTACGTCAGCGCTCGACGCGTTCACGTCATTAAATGTCGCTCTCAGGCAAGTAGCTGGCAGCGGAACGCCGCGAACTATGAGAGCACTGAACAGCCCAGCGCAAACGTGACGTCATGGGATAGCTGGAAGCGTCAGCAGAGGCAGCAGTGCCTGTTAGATAAAGGACGAACCCCGTGTTCTAAAGCTTAGAGGCTTGAGCGGGCTGCTGGCCGGCCCGATCGGCCCTGCCACGACCCGCGGGTGGGGTCCGCAAAACTCGGTCTGGCGATCGAGTTTCGGGTCGGGTAGGATCACGACTCGAATCGGACCGATCGGGTTCAGAAAAGTGCACCCGTGCAGGCCTCCGGTGGACAGACGGAGGACATCCGCTATTATATAGATGCATCACATATGTCCTGCATCAGGAAGACAGTTCTAGTTTCTACCTTAAATTACGAAACGAACGCTGTTGAAGTCAGCGTGAATAATTACAAGATTCAACTGAAGGGGGAATCCATGCATGAAAAATTTATTTCGTTTCAAAACAATGCGTACCGTATAGCACTTCTGCTGGAGCGAAAACTCGATTACACACCTTCAATTTGACTGATTGTACTGTCACCCATTTCTAATCAATCAATTAGAGTGCAAGACTGACAAGATGACGCGAACTCGGAGTGACAAAATGACGGAATTGATTGGGGCCGATTCACTCGGTCAAGGTGTGGACTATGGACACACCCCATCATTCGCTATCAAATGGTTCCACATAGTGCTTGAAGCCGCAATGTTCACCACAGGAATCCGAGCCTGCTTGATCTTCCTCTGCCTCTGTGGATGTCTACCCCTCAGCGGACTTTTCCGCATGGATTCTGTGCAGCTGGAATTCCGTTATTTCAGCATTCAATTCCTCTATGCCCTCGTCTGGCTCCTAGCCAGATCCTGGCTTTCCAAAAGTATCATCTTTTCCGAGTTTCTGGAAGTCATGGACGCCGTGAATGCGAGCACTTTGCAACATATCATTGTCTGTGTGCAAGGCATTACCTTAATTCTGGCTGAGGTATCTACAGTGCTCTTCGTGCTGATGAAGGGTCGGGGCTTGGCGAAGATCTTCCGAACTTTGGAAACCTTAACCCGCGATGAGAAGATCCCTGTTATTGGCAGTCAGGCTGGCATCTTTGTCTTTTTCTCCCTCATCGTTATAATTTACGCTGGGTTTATTGGAATTTTTACCAATGCACCAAACATATGGATTCGTATGGTACAAGTAGGAATTGAAGTTCCACCCATGCTACTCATAGAATTTCTTTTCTTCACACTCTGCCTGCCAATTAGGTCATGCCTTGAAGCACTCGCCGATGACATTCTCACAAATTCTTAATCGGCTGGTTCTTTCAGGTCTGGCATATTTTATGAAACACTTCAGCGAGAATCATAAAATGATCACTTTAAATGCTATATACAGTAGGTTCCCGAAAAACGATATGCAACAGGCTTTACCGTTCCAGTTAAAATAATAGATCTTCAGAGTAAAAAAAAATCGAGTTGTTCCCATTCTAGTCACTTCAACTCTCTAAGACTTTTATCATGCTCTATCATGCTCAAATAGGCGCAGGTGGATGAGCATCAGGGCTGCACTGGAAGCGCTGGTGGATTGGTTTGCGTGGCCTGTGACTTTGACT